TCCGTTGAGTATCAGTAATTTCTTCAAGTTAAATTTATTTAATTTGAAAATTTTATGAAAAAATATATGCTATTTTGTAGTACAATCAATTATGTGTTGTTTCTAAAGTCACATATACATATTGTTTGACAATTATTATTTATGATTACTTAAAAATAATATTAGTGATAATAAACACAATTCATCGACTAATATTATATTTAAAAAAATATTTTAAGATATAATAAATAAAATTTTCATCGAACATAATTTTAACATAAGTCGCGCAGCTAGCGCGGGTGGCGTACTAGTCGGAAATGAAGCTGCCAGTAGTAATAAATCGAAAAGCACAGTCATGAAGAAACCCGGAAAGAAATAATAAATAGTTGGTTCATGAGAATGAAAGTTGAGGCCAAGTAGCCTTGAACGATATCTAGTTGAGGTCAGAATCTCTCGTCCGAAGGACAGCACACTGAAGAAGAGTCTGAAAATCCACGTGCTTGAGGCACACCTGACATTGTATTTTCCCTTTCGCCCAATGAGCTATGCAGGAATAATGATAGGCATGAGAGCATGGCAAGAAAAGTATGTAGTTGAGAAAACGAAGCTTGCCGGAACAAGTACCGCAATTCATTTGGTGAGCGTCATTTTTTAGTTCTATCGGAAATTTGTAAGGCGGGGGAGTCGAGAGAAGCTTAATGAGCTTATCCCCAAGCTCCACATGCGATGAGTTGGGCATTATGGCCCGCCATCGGGCATCATCAATGGTCTCGTTGTCCGCTTGCTTTGTGTACAGTTTGATATGCATAGTGATGGGGTAAACTCTGAGGTCAGATCGAGTCATCACAAATGCCTTGTGTCTAAGCTGGTTGACAATATCTTTGGTGTCTTGCACCCATTTTTTAATAACAACTTCATCATTGACTCCGTGACAGCTGAGGAATTTGAAAAGAAAGGTTTCCGGGTGGTGGATGTCGTACTCCAGGCCTCGCCTCACCTGGATGTAGTGACCGGGAAAACTGAACATGTCCATGTAGAATGTGTGATGCGTAATCAGAAACACGCGTACGTAGAAGCATCTATGTGTCGAACAAAGCGTATCCTCATCAACGCGGCCGACAACTATCTTTTAAAGAATGTAATCTGCTCGGAAGTTGATTCGGACATGGGGCACGAGATTGAACAACAACTCGCTGCACTTGCCTTGGGAGGAGGATCGGCTACTGCAATATCATCTTCCAATAATATGCACTCGCAATCGTACAATTTTGCTGGAAGTGTAAAAAGATGGCATGGTTTTCTTGGTCTCTCAATCGGTCTCTTAATCTCCACTAATCATCATCATCATCATCATCATCATCATCATCATCATCATCATCATCATCATCCTCGGATGGACGTGATCTTTTCGACTTCTCCTTCATTCCAACAACTAACTCAACAAATACACACACACACACACACATTAGAACTTGATGATACAATAAAGATCCAATTTTTGGCCCAGTTAGGATTCTTAAACTGTGGATTTATAATATATATATATATATATATACTTCAGAACACGATGGTACGATAACACATACAAATCAATACGAAGCAAGTAAAAGACCAACATACAATTACAATACTTACCAATCCTGAGGAAGCCGCCGCAGCCGCTTCCACGGGAAAACAACCGGCCAGGAAGTGAACTGAGATATATTACGATAAGGACTCCGGCGGAACCACAAACAAATCTGTAGTTTTTCCAAAAGCTCTTGCGGGACGATTATGGAAATGGGTTAGTTTTAAACAATTGGGTTAGCTTTTGGAAAAACTACAGATTTGTTCTATGGCCTGGCCCTAACAAAAAGAAGTCTATACAGGCCCATAAAGGGTAAGTAAGTTAATCAAGTCACAAAACCCAATCGTTTTATTATACTTATATTGTGTATTAATTATATCTATATCTATATCTACTTATATAAAAAGAATCTATATCTATATATATATATAAAGAATTACTACCATTTATCAAAAATGGCAGGTCAAATATATGGTCAAATTGCTCATCATTAATTACTTTCCATCAATAGTAACTTTTTTATATTATTTTTAAAAAAATCAATTAGCATTAAATGTTGCCACAAATTATGGGTTTTAATATATTAATGAATATATTCATACTAGTTAATATATAAGTGGGAAAGGGGATTTTATAAATATTAGTCTTATCATACCCAATCCGCATTTTAACTCGAATAAAATCAAATTTACGTGTAACAGAAATACGAGGAAAACAATTAATTAAGCTAAAATCAGAATTATTTTATGTTTAACAAATCCAAATTTGGAACTTAAGACCGTACAAACCGCTACAGCCCAATTTAAGGCCTAACTAATATGAAAGTAACAAGGCCTAAGTTGAAGAATGGATTAAGCCCAAGTATATATACAACATAAGGCTCGACAATAGAGGCCTACTAATAAAAAGGAAATTTACATAGGGATCAAAAATATTTTTTCCAAGATCATGCACGCTCTGCTTGTTGGAAAAAAAAAATAAAAAAAAAAAAATCATCCAATACAAAAAACTTACGTATACGATATATTTAAAATGAACTTGAAGGTAAATTATATTCATTTTTTTTTTTTCTATAAGATGTATTCAGACAATTTTGAATGTTTTTCCATGTAGGTAATATTTTTGTTTATATGTTTAGTGTGACCATCAGTTTCTTATATATGGAACATAAATATGAAATAAACAAAACGAAGCATTGATTCGTATTATGTAACGAATCTCAATGAACATATCGGTATAGTCTTTTTTAATGTACTTTTATGGTGATCAAGTACGAGATTATTGACAGGGAGGGTGGACATATTGGTATATAGTCTTTTTTAACCAATCTTAATGAACATATTCGCCGGAAAGCGGGTCGTGGATGCTTACATCTAGGTTGCGGGGACTGCAGTAGCGTAGCTAGAAATATTTTCTATACTGGGCTGCTAGAACCAATTTGGTATACATGGGCTAAAAAATATTTTTCTAGTACTACATATTTAAATTAATCAAAAAATTAAGACTGAGCTGGAGCCCGGGTGAGCCACCCTCTGGCTACGCCCTTGGCGGGGAGAGTGGATCTCGATGATGGCAGCGCGTGGCCTTGAAGCTCCTGGCTATGGCTGCTCGGAGGGGTTCGAGTATGAGGTTTCCTCGACAAGGGCTTGCTCGCGGTTATGGCATCTAGTGTTCTTCTTTTCGCCATTAACGAAGATATGGATGAAGAAGAACAGAAGTTATGCAAGTTTCAAGATTAATTTGGTCCAATTCTAATTAATTGTAGGTCTGTTAAATAAGGTAAATTAATTATTCCTAATACTAGTATAATTATTGAGAAATCTCGTAAATGTAAAATAAAATTCTTCACACGTAATTTTAAAATTAAGATTATAATGATACGTAAAGGAAGTAAATTTCTCACAAAATAAATACTTGAAGAACTTCGGGCCGAATGAGAGTGATAAGTGGTACATGTCTTAGCCCACCTTGTAAGATGACTTTATGATGTGTGCAGTTTATATTACAAACTTAGGACTTAGAGGATGTTTGGATATGAAATTTTTTTGTTTTGTTGGATTTTTTGGTTTGGATTGGTTTTTGAAAAAGGTAATATGGTTAATTGTTAGTGAGTATATTAAAATAATATTTAACATGAAATAATTAAAAATTTGATGTGATGGTTAGTTAAAATATTGTGAGTAGATGAATAGTAAGTTAATGTTGATGTGGTGTATATAAACGATTTATTGATATTATTTAATTATATTGATAATAGTGAGGTTGAGTTAAAAAAAGTGATTGAGTTAAAATGTTGAATTTTTTTTTGAGATATCTTGTATACAAACATGCCCTAAGTGTTTCGATTACACGTGTATTCTACAAACTGAAGTGTATGGTGCAATTATTACAAGTTGAACTAACAATAGAAAACAAAATTACAAACTGCAAGTTGAAAGAGAATAGCTGACGAGTATTGTTCTTTTTATAATACGAATACGACTCATAATGTGCTGACGAGTTTAGGTGTCCCGTCCCAAAAATATAACATCTGACGTCTCGAAGGCTATAGCGCACCAGACTTTCGAGTTGTAACGAACTTTAACGAAGTTGAGAATCGGTCACTTGTATATTATGATGTGAAGAGGTTATGGAGATGATAAGTGTGCTATGAATATGTTCTGCAACTCTAAATCATGTCCTATTTATGGATTTTCAGCCAGTAGGGATGACATCTGGTCTTTAATCAGTAACAACCCATTGATGGTTGTGTATGTTAAGTCTGCCGTTTTCAAGTTCTAACATCGCTGCTCCACCTAAACAGTTAGGTGGAATCAACTACTTGGAGAGGTCTCACACAGAATGGGTCAAAACTCGAGTTCAAACTCAACTCGATTTGGATTTTAACTTGAGCCTCAATTTTGCAAATAAATTTGGCGCAAAAAGATTATAAGGACTGAGCCCAAGACCTAAGCCCAACACCGAACCAGATCGTCAAGGCCGTCCAAGTACAATTATCATGGACAAAGGTTCACGGCCAAGGCTTAGGCCCGTGCCCGTACCTGGCGGTTGCGTGCCCGTGTAGCCAAGCAATCACAAACACTTGTTGCATAACTTTGTAATTTTTTTTTTACTTATCCAACTCTTTTTATTATAATAAAGAGAGTTAATCCTCATTTAAGAGTCCCATGTGAGAAAGAACTATTGACCCTTCAAATCCCATAACCATCGTTTTACGTGTCCATTAATCACTAATTTGAATCATTTATTTTTCACTCACAAAAAAACGGTTTTGAAAAAATAAATATACTACGAGAATCTACTCGAAACGTGTAACTTTTCTACAGAGCGACCAGAATTAAATATATAGTCATAAAAAAATCAGTCAACATTGGGTCAAACTCAATTTAATTAATTTTCCAACAGTCTATACTAATAAGTAATAACTATTGGTTTTAAAGGATATCAGCTGCTCGCCGTGAGTTCATTTCGGCAAGAGTTTAATTTGGCTCGATTCGTTAAGACTCAAAAATATAATATATATTTTTATTTCCTTGTAGGTCGGCTCAAATTCCGAGTTCAAATTTATTTATCAACTTGTTTAGTTAACGAATAGAGCCAACTCGTTTATACCTATATCATAATACATGTCATTCTTGGATCTAATAGTTATGCAATGCAACTGAGATAGTGATGTACAACGTGAATACAAAGACTTAATTGTTAGACTGATCTATACTGTATGGCAAAAAAAAAAAAAATATATATATTTTAAATGTCATACTTTTATTTAAATTATTTATGAAAAAGTATGATTATTTAACGATAATATGATTAGTAAAAAGTCTACCTAGTCGAGAAATAAAAAGTTTATAACCATCCTATATAAGATTTTATTTTTTAAAAAAAAGCATGTAAGAAACAAATGTATTGTAATTTATACAAGAAGGACAGTTACTTTTTGTTTATTTGATTTGAATTTGTTAATTGTGATGTGGTGTCTTAAGTCTCGTGGTTCACGTCAGTCGAAGCGGCGATTATTCCGCAGATTCCTTTCTTTTGTTTTTCATGTTTTTTTT